TGATGATGATGATGGTGATGGTAATGCCGATGATAATAAGCTCACCAGTAGCAGGTACTCATAGGTAATGGCAATGCCAGTAATGGTAATCACCACCGGTGGTGATCACCACTTTGAAGAGCAGTGAGAGTGAGTTGGCATCTTCTGCCACTTCTTCAGGTGAAGAATAAAAAGAGAAAGTGGAAAAGTAGTTCTACTTCTTCTTTAGCTTTTAGTAAAGGATGATGATCATGACGGCGGATTTGATGGGCCGATTGGCGCCGCTAAAGTTAGGTTGAAGCAGTTCTCGGTGTCGGCAACAGTGGTAGAACTTTTCTGCCACCGCTGCCGCAGCTGAAGGTGATCCGAACTAAAGTCGTGACCGGACATATTTTTCTGATAATGTACTGATGCAGAGGTAGTGCACTTTTGGTGGTGGTGGTGGTGATAGTGTCTCACTTTCAACGAATAAGTTGGCTTAGGTTGCGAGACTTTGAGGGTGATACTTTCTAGTGAGGAAAAAGAAGAAGAAATTAGCAAAAGTCAACAGAAGTCAACAGAAGTTTGACATTGTCGGCGACAATGTTGAAATACTTTACTCATGCTCTATTGATTCCAATGAAAATCTCCTGTGCCAGTTCGGATGATGATGATGATGATGACGACCAGAGAATCCTGAAATCAAATGCACAATAAAAATAAAAATTCTAGTTCTCAAGAAATTCCAGAAACACAAACGCAAACACAAAATTGCCGTCTTCTGTGAAGCGCCCAGCCAAAAACGTGGGGGCACCAAAAGTCCGCAGCGCCCACCTCTGAGCCGTTCACAGAGCCCGTCCAGCAGCGGCAGCAGTAGGGGCCGGCGCCCACCGCCACTTTCCCGCTTTTTTCTGTCGTCTGTTTTTGTTTTGCGCTGTGTTTTTGCCTCCTTTTTTTTGGACGGCGATCAAATCAAATCAAACCAACTTTGTACGGCAAGTTTCGAAATCGGTTCTTCATTTCTTTTGTACAATAACCTAACCTCCATCTTTCTTTTTCAGATCTTCAGATCTTCAGACGACGACGACGACGACCATGCCACCACCACCGGCAAAAAAGTTCGCTTTTGCTTCTTCACAGTCATCATCAGCCACAGCAAATAACCTCGATGGCGAAGGAGGACCGCCAATTCCGCTGGGTCGCGTCGCTCCAAAGGTGGTCACCATCGCCCGCCCTCCTCGCATGCTCAAGGTGGAGCACCTGACGGACCCGAAGCGGGGCATCGCCAGTCTGCCCAGAGAGCTCACTGAAGGAGGTGTTCCCTTCAAGGGGAAAGGCCACGAGCTGGAGGACCTTCGCCTGCTCCTCTCCCGGGCGAAGCACTGGGCCCACCGCCTCTTTCCCCGCATCACCTTCGAGGACTTTGTGGAGCGGGCGGAGGGGCTCGGCTCGAAGCGGCCGCTTCGAAATCACCTGACGCGAATCAGGCACGGCATGCCGCTCTCCTTTGGAACCACCAATGAGGACGGGGAAGTGGTGGGGGTGAATTCGGAAGATGAAGAAGACGTAGTTCGAGTAGGAGGAGGAGAAGATAATCAAGGTCCGGCGGTGGATTCTTCAGCGTCAGCAGCAGCAGAAACAGCAGCAGAACAGGAGGACAACAACAACAGCAGCAGCACTTCAGAGCTCAAGTTTGACCGCCTCTTCAGAGAGTTCAGCTCGACGATCGCCGCTGCCTCTTCGAACACTCAGCGACCGCCGCCACCACCACGATTGACCACTACGATTGAGAAGGTCGCTGAGGATGAAGAGGGTGAAAAGAAGGAGGAGGAGGAAAAAGCGGCCCAGAAGGCTGCTGAAGAAGGTTCGGCTTCGGAGGAAATAACCGCTGAACCGCAAAGTCAACAACAGCAGCAGCAGCAAAGTTCTACTTCTTCAAAGCAGCAGCCAAAATCTTCAGTTGAGGAGGAGGAATTTGACATGGACGACGACGACTTCGACGAGGACTTTCTCTCCTCGTTTAAGCCCTGAACAACAGCAGCAGCGAAAAGAACTCTACCTTCTTTTGGTGGTCGATTATTATCATCACCATCATCGGCTACCTCGCCATCATAAATCGGTGATCAGTGTTCGCACGCACGACTCGGCCTTGATTGGGGGAGGGGGGGGGGCTTCTCAGCAGCCAGGTTTGTTGCTATTTCATCTTTCAGTGAGCTTTGCTGATCATCATTTACTAATTTCTCCTTTTCTCTTCTTCCAGATTCTCTTTTTCCACCCCTCTTTGCTTTGTAATTTTGTACATAACCCTGGGCTCAAAGCCTTTAACTAGTAAAAAAGTACGCACATTATTTACCTTTTTTAATTTGAACATTCTGGCTCAATGGAGATGACGCACCTCGATCGAAGCGCTCAAGTGGCAGAAATTTTCCCTAACGCGCGTCCGGGCGGAGCTTAATTTGTGAATGTATTACACTGTGCAAGTTTATTTCACTGTACAAAAACTGTACTAAAAATTCTTTTTCAACCAAACTTGTACGGTGCAAGTTTACATCAGCTGTTTTGCACATTGTAATACAATCCCATTTTAAGCTCCGTCCGGACGCGCGTTAGGGAAAATTTCTGCCACTTGAGCGCTTCGATCGAGGTGCGTCATCTCCATTCGCGATCACTCCATCATGCAGAAAAGACTGGCAAGCCAGACGGCAGAGGGCGACACAGTGGTGGTGGTCCAGAGGTGGATGCGGCCGCCGCATCATGCGGCGTCGCACCAGCTTTCGATTCTGATCCCCTTTTTCCTTCTCGTCTAGCTCTGCAGCGACGATGATGAGGCCTGCTTTGGTTGGCACTTTTGGGAACCGATCAGATGCAGTCACTGAGCATGGGCAGTCAATCAAGTTTTTCTGAGGCCGTAAAATCAATCTCTGCTACGCAGTGCGCACTTTTCCCCACTGCGTAACTCTAGCAAAGCATCATCACTCTCATCAACGATTTGATCCTTCTATCTTCTTTTTCTTCTTCTGTTTGACATCACTTGCCATCGCCTTAGCATTTTGCGCTTTAAAACTCCGTTTGCTGGCAGTGAAAATCACCAGCGTGACACAGCGTTTAACTTAGACACTGACCGCTACCACCACCACCCCCAGTCTACTTCTCGACAAAAGCACTTCGCCGACAAACTTAGTGAATAAACAGACCCAATTTCAACTCCACTTCCTTGTTCTCTAAACGCTCCCTGTTGACCGGCAGACCGCTTCCTCAAAGCATTCTGACGCCAGTAGAGATTTTGTTTTTGTACCCGTATCACACAACGACGGCGGTTTAAGCAAAAACGAGGACTAACAATGACTTCCCCCTTAAGCATCCGTGATCTAACTGAAATGTCGGGTTGGAAGTGGAGTTGGCCAATCTTGAAAAACTTCTCTTTGACCACCTTTGCGTCTGAGCACATCTGGAAGATTGGCAAGTTTCCGGTGATAAACCAGTTTTCAGGCCAAAAGAGCGAAGAGGAAATGACGTCGTCTGAATTTAAAGTTGAAGGCCACGATCTGAAGTTTCAGATGAAACTTAGATATGCCGGAATGCAGGCTGAAAATGACCAAATGAATGTTCAATTTAGTTTGTGTTGTGCTCTAGGAAAAGAAATCATTATTGGAGAAGCAGTCAAAATCTCACTTACCATTTTTGATAACACTACAGTTTCTGGAAATTATGGTAAAAGTCGTGTTAAAATTTAAAAAATTGAAAAATGTTAATTCTTTTTAATTTAGGTCCTTTATCTTTTGTTTTTAAAAAACGTGGTCTTCCGTATCAAACCAATATTAAAGATTTACGTTTTAGTGATCGTAACTCTTTGCACCTAATCAATGAATTGAAGATCTTGTTAAAAGTATGATTTAGTGTTTAATTTGAGTTCACTTTATTAACAAAACATTTTTTGTTTTACCCTTTTGCAGTTTGAAGGCCGCTACGTCAAACCGTCTAACTTTATCCTCAGTCAGTTGAAGATTTTTAATAGTGGAGAGCTGAGCGACTTTACTATTGTGGTTGAGAACAAACATATGCCTGTCCACAAGGTATTCCTCGCCACCTATTCGCCCGTTTTTGCAGCCATGTTCAGCCAAAAAGATTCTAAAGAAGTTAGAGAGGGTAAAGTAGTGATTCCCGATTTTAGCGTTAATGTGTTCAAATTCTTTCTGGCGTTTGTTTATATCGGCGCCAAACCCAAACAAAGTTCCCTGACCACCGAATTATTAAAACTTGCTGACAAGGTAAATAATGTTGTTCTTTACCTTTTTAAAAAGCCTTTTTGCATTCTATTTGATACTATTTTTACTGTTTTTACTCCTCTCCAAAACAGTACCTGGTTGAAGAGCTGAAGCAACACTGCGAGGAAAGTCTGTCCACTGACCTCTCGGTGCTTTCTGTTGTCTGCCTTTTTCAGGTCGCTTTCATGCACAACGCCCCCACCCTCAAGAATAACTGCCTGAAGTTTATGGCCGACCATTACTTTGACGTGACAAAAACCAATGATTGGAAGGAGATGTGCAAGAACAAAAACCTGATTTTTGAGGCCACTTGCGGTATAGCCGAGAACATGCAAGAACAAGGAGAAAATGCAAAGAAAAAGATTCAATTGAGTTGAACTCTCTCTCTCTTTCTCTCTCTCTCTCTCTCTCTCTCTCTCTCTCTCACACACACACACACATTTCATTTGACTTACATTTTCTGACGTTATTATTTACGACAACTATAAGTGGTCGGTTATAATTTTTTTTATCATTGTCTGATCACCACAAAATAAAATTCAGCGCTTCCCTGTTTTTTTGTACAGTTCTAAATCATTCGGCCAAATAACAATGCACTGTGGCACTACTCAAAGAAAAGCAGTACAAGCACACGTTGCCATTTTATGCACTTGTGGTGTGTGCGGCGTCAAAGTGTTCAACTTTACCAGTTTTTTATTTACCCTCCAGCATCTCTCGAAAACGATGGCAAGCGATCCAAGTGAAGAGCTTGCCAAACGCTGGCCACACAACAAGGTGACCACATTCACCATCGAGCACGACTGGATGGTTGGCCCGTTTCCGGGTTTGCCCGAGCTGTTAGCAACAGGCAAAAACAACTGGAAAGTAATCAAGTCGGCCGTGTTTGTACCAGTTGGAGGTGGTCACAGTCTGGGGTTTCAGATGGCACTCAAGCTTGAACGGCCTAGCGATGGCAAGGAAAAAGTTTTCTTTAGCTTGTCCTGTTATACATTGAAAGAGATTGCCAGTGAAGTGCTCGTCTCTTTCAAACTGGCCTTTAATGATGGCTCTGACGATTGGGGGTTTTCCAATTGTAAGGCTTTGAATAAAAAACAAATTGCAAACTAATCCTCTCCTTATCTCCTCAGCCAAATTTCACAACTTTACAAGTGATAGTTCTTCGTGTATCATCACTTTAAGTAATTTTTATTTTGGTGATCGAACAACCTTGCACCAAATCGAGAAACTGACGGCTTCTATCAAGCTTTCCGGCGCCTACATCAAGGCGACCTCCTTTTTCCTCAGCCAAATGGAGTTTCTGGAAAGTGGAACGCTGAGTGACTTTACCGTGGTAGTCGGCGACGGTGACAAAGAAGAGCAGCAGCGAATTCCCGTTCACAGGGAGCGCCTCGCCGCCTGTTCGCCCGTCTTTGCGGCCATGTTCCGCCATGAGGACACCAAGGAGGCTCAGGAGAAGAAGGTGATGATCCCCGATGTTCGCGCTGATGTCTTCAAGGACTTTCTTCAGTTCGTCTACACCGGCGTGCGTCCTAAATGCGGCCGCCTGACCACTGAGCTGCTGACTCTCGCTGACAAGGTACTTTTGGACTTTCGGTTCTGCTCTATTTGACTATTTTAACCTGTTTGCCTTTTTCAAACAAAAAAAACAGTACCAGGTAGAAGAGCTGAAGGAGAACTGCGAGGAGTACCTATCGGCGACCTTGTCCGCACTGACGGTGATCCCCCGCCTGAAGGTGGCCGCCCTGCACAGCGCCGCCGCCCTCAAGGAGAGCAGCCTGGCGTTCATTGCCGCCCACTTTGTTAGCGTGGTGAACACCTCGTCCTGGGTGAATCTCTGCACTAGTGGAGGTGGAGGTGATGGTCAACTGGTGGTCGAGGCCACGCAAGCCATGGCCAAGAGCGTTCAGGCTTTAGAAGCAGAGCAGAAGAAGAAGTGATGATGCTTCGGTTATCACTGCCTGGTTACTACAAAATAAAATTCAAAGTTTTTCTTTTGCAAAGTTCTAAATCATTCGGCCAAATAACAATGCACTGTGGCACTACTCAAAAGAAAGCGGTACAAGCACACTTGGCATTTTATGCACTTGTGGTGTGATAGGTGTCAAAAAACTCAGCTGTCAGCTTTACCAGCTTTTGATTTACCACCTTCCAGCATTTCTCGACGACGACGATGACAAACGATCCAATTGAAGAGCTCGGCAAACGCTGGCCACAAAGCAAGGTGACCACCTTCACCGCCGAACACGACTGGACGGTTGGCCCGTTTCCGGCTGTGTCTGAGCAGTCAACAGGAACAGGCGAAAGCAACGACTGGAAGGAGATCAAGTCGGCCAAGTTTGCAGCTGATGGCAACGGTGGTGGTGGTCACAATCTGCAGTTTCAGATGGCACTCCAATTTGACCGGTCTAGGATCAATGACACGGAGAGTCTCTTTTTAAAGCTGTACTGCTCTCCAGGAAAGGAGGTTGCCAGTGAAGTGCCTGTCGCTATTGAAGTAACTTTTGACGAGGGCTCTGACGATTCGAAGCTTTTCTATAGTAATTCTTTTTAATGGAAAAAAGACAGATTGCAAATTAATATCTTTTCTTATTTTTTATCCTCAGCCACATCTCAAACTTTTCCGGATGATGATTTTCTGTTTCCCACCATGTTTACTGATTTTACTTTTGGTGATCTGACCACTTTGAACCGAATCGAAACGCTGACGGTGTCTGTCAAGCTCTCCGGCGCCTACATCAAGGCGACCGCCTTCTTTCTCAGCCAAATGGAGCTACTGAACAGTGGAACGCTGAGCGACTTTACCGTGGTAGTCGGCGATGGTGACAAAGAGCAGCAGCAGCAACAAATTCCCGTCCACAGGGAGCGCCTCGCCGCCTGTTCGCCCGTCTTTGCGGCCATGTTCCGCCACGAGGACACCAAGGAGGTTCAGGAGAGTCAGGTGGTGATCACCGATGTTCACCCTGATGTTTTCAAAGACTTTCTACAGTTTGTCTACACCGGCGTCAAGCCCAAGTGCGCCTCTCTGACCACCGACCTGCTGACTCTCGCTGACAAGGTATTTTTGGACTTTCGGTTCTGCTTTATTTGACTATTTTAACCGGTTTGCGTTTTTTCACTAAAAAACAGTACCAGGTAAAAGAGCTACGAGAGCACTGCGAGGAGTACCTGTCCGCGAGCCTCTCGGTGTGCAATGTGGTGTACTACTTGCGAGTTGCCCACCTGCACAGCGCCTCTTTCCTAAAGAAAAGCTGCCTCAAGTTCATGGCCGCCAACTTCGCTGACGTGGTGAGCACCTATGACTGGGAGGTGTTCTGCAAGGGCGGAAACAGTGGTCAGCTGATGCTCGAGGTCGCGTGGGCCACTGCCGAGTACATTCAGTCTTTAGAAGCAGAGAAAAAGGAGAACAATTGGTACGGGATATCTTCTTTTACCAATACCAGCGCTTTGTGCTGATTAATTGTTACAACAAAAAATTAAAAAAGTTTAATTTTGTCATCACTGTCTGATCACCACAAAATAAAATTCAGCGTTTCCCCGTCTTTTGTACAGTTCTAAATCATTCAGCCAAATTACAATGCACTGTGGCACTACTCAAAGTAAAGCGGTACAAGCACACGTTGCCATTTTATGCACTTGTGTTGTGTGCGGTGTCAAAGTGTTCAATTTTTGATTTACCCTCCAGCATTTCTCGACGATGGCAAGCGATCCAAGTGAAGAACTCGGCAAACGCTGGCCAGACAACAAAGTGACCACGTTTACCGTCAAACACGACTGGACAGTTGGCCCGTTTCCGGGTTTGCCCGAGCAGTCAGCAACAGGCAAAAGCAACTGGAAGGAGATCACGTTTGCAGTGGATGAAGGTGGTCACAATCTACAGTTTCAGATGGCACTCCAATTTGTACGGGTTTGCAATGACCAGGAGTGGGTCAACTTTACCTTGTACTGCTATTCAGGAAAGGAAGTTGCCAGTGAAGTGCCCGTCTCTTT